GTCATCGATAGCAAAGTTGAAGAGCAACGGTGAGATTGTGTAACCCTACCGAACTACACTGCTTGAATGGAACAATGGAGAGAGGTGGTTGTATGTCCTCACTCTGTCTGAAGTGTTTCTATATAAGACTTTTAAGATGTTAATAAACTTTCAGTCACACCTTTCTTCAATAGACAATCCCAGAGAACAGTCCTGTTCAACGAATCGAAGGCGGCCATAATGTCAAGAAACACTACGATTATTGACCAGTGCAAGTATAACAGTGTTTAAACATTTGGAGGAGGGTAAAGATGTGATTAATACATCCTCGACCAGAACGAAAACCAGCCTGTTCCTCACGAGCCAATCTTTCTCGGGTTTTGAACAATCCACGAAGTATGACGTAAATCAATAGTTTGGACGGATTCAAATCTCACCAGAAACATCATTTCTATCCATGTTACAAATGCTCCACTTACCATGAAGCTTAAGTACACAGCTTCCTCAACCCAAATAACTAAAATTGCATTATTTACAATATACTTTGTTAGTTAATAATGCAACATATTTTTGATTTATATCTAACGTGTATCATTCATTAACATCTACACTAGTTTAACACAATAATGAATAAGCAATAGTTATGGTTTTGAGTGAATGTTTGATTACAATACTTGAGATCATGAGTCAATTGAAATTAAACTACCATGAAAAACCTGGGAGCATTGGACGGCCGTTTCATCACAGATTAGACAATCACTAAACTTTTTTTCTCCCTTATTCTAATCAACATTTTAGCAAACAATAATAAACAAGAAATAATTTTAATCATGAACTAATGTTTGTGAAATAACAAAGTGAGAACAACTAGCAATGGATAGTTGTTTTAGTCTCCTCAAATAATGCAAATTAAGTAGAGTTAAAGATCTATATCAAATCTAGTTTGTTGTCATGATAACATTAATCGACTAAGTTAGAATTCAATGATCCATTATCATTGTTATTATCACTACACAACTCTATTTTGATTCTACGAGAAAATGTATTTCAAAGGTAATCATTAGAGACATACAATGTTATTTATTTATGGTTTAATTAGAGGTTTCGTATAGGTTGAAAGTAAGTCTTAACACGTATTGATATCACATTGAGAATCTTGATATTATGTGGTTAGATAGTGCCAATGTAAAAGAGACTATACTGTAGGATAGACCTATAGTTACTTGAAGTCAATGGCGTAGTGGTATAAGCACTGCTACTGATGGGTCCCACAATGGGATGAAACAGCCGTTCAGTGCTTCCACGTTTTCCATGGTTGTTTAGCTTCAATTGACCCATGATTTCAACCATTGAAATTACTATAATATCCTTAAAACCTCTTCTGAAATTAATTAAGTGTCCATTTGTTTACCATACATTATAATCAGTTAATTTTTTGAGTTTATCGCTATCTCATTGAATGATACTTTACAAAAAGCCCGTAGCATAAACTGTTTTTAGCATGACTAACTTACTTTAAGTGAGATAACTTAGAAAGTCTAATATCTCCAACCTATTGTAGAATTGAAAAATTGTTAAATTATTCTTGATACAAATGTTTTTCAGTCTGGAGATGTAGCCAGTACCAGATTTGCCTAGTTATAACAACTTCCCTTGGTAAATCATGCCCACTGCTCTAGTAAAAAGACTAATGAATAGGAAGCTATAATTGCCAGACCGGATTGTTATGCATATAAATCATATATATATCCTTCTATTGGGACAAAGACATGTGGGCTGAGATCTTGACAAAAGCATAATTTATTTCCTTAAATAGCACGTCTCACACAGAACCTCTCGCTCAGCAATTGGTTTTGAGACAAAACTAACTGTCTGAGATTGTGACATCTAGTGGTATGTCTAGACACGTTCACCCTATCACAGTTTGAACTAAGAACCTCGTAATCAAATCACTGAACCATAGTTCTGATAAAATTCATACGATCAGTTTATTGAAAATGACAGTTGGGAAGTTATGACTTCAAATCATATAATACAACAAGCTACGCATTAGAAGGTAATGACTAACATTATATTATCATCCTCAGAAGCTTGTTCAACTCAACCGAGTTACTAGCAACAAAAAGTCTGAAGTCAATGAAGCAATCAGTGAATTTGATGGAATCCCAATCAATCACATCTGCCGACGTCTTGAAGGATGAACACAGTTTATGAATAGAACACAGAGTTGCCTAACATCCTGAACTTAAAGAGGCCAGGTTTCACAAACATAACTCAAACCTGCTCTCACCGATGTGTTTTGAATTCGACTTTTCACAATCAGACTGACATAGACCACTCTGGATTTCATTATACGTGAAATGATCTCATCAGTTGTACAGCCAAAACCCTTTACACAAGTACGTAAATATACGAACCTTTTGACTGTTCACTATATCAAGAGTAAGTGAAAGCATACGCATCTATCACTCTTATGAAAGAACTTTGTACTTAAAAGGTATAAATCATGTGTTACATTTTCAAATCAAGATTATGTCTGTATTCATTATCTAACCAATAACTTCACAGAAATTGTTCAACAATAGAAAAACTAAATAAGCTTTCTTTAAAGAAAATAACTGAACAGGAAAAAAGGCGAACTACATTTTTTGTTGTTGAATAAATGGAATATGTGAAATAGAGCTTCTGAAGAAATAACTAACTAGATCATTAATAAAATTACTAATCAATGGTAGTTAGTAATATACATATCCAGTGTATTGAATAAGCCAGAGCATTCTTTACAAAAACGATTCTGTTTAGATATGTAGTTTGTGGATAATGATGGATAATATATCAAAATCAACTTGGAGCATTGAATAAGTGTTTCATCCTTATATATGGGATTTACCAACAGTACATATCAGCGACCTCGGTGGAGCTTGAACACAGGATATTCAAATCTCTCGGCGGAATGATAGTGATGCACATACACACTCAAAGAACTGCAGCTCGTGAGTTTGAATCTGATGTGATTTTAAGTGTGTGTGTATCCATCCACAGTAGTTGGAGTAGACCATACTACGCAATTTAGTAATCTATAGACTATTTATACTACTCTCATTTGTACAGTTATTGGCTATTAAATATATGATATGTGTAATCATAATGTGAAATTTGTCATTCAACCGTATTCCTAATCATACAATTTAGTCATTAGACTGAAAAAATTCACTAAGCGAATGTTTACTAAGACAGCTTATTTCACTAATTTCACGTTTGGTTTGTTAATGGATACGGTATATACTACGAAGGACATACTTTTATGCTATCATTATTACTAATCATGAAAACTACTATACGGAACTACAGTATGGTTATTACTAGTTGTTACTGTTGTTCATGTCGGATAATATATTTCAGACATATAAGTTAAACAAGATAGGAAATTCTAATGAATTCATGGTTGCGGATTTAAAACAACTACTCTTTATTTCACCTTTCCACTGAGTTCCACAGTCATCAAACAATAATAAATATGTGGATCATTGAGATGATGTATGTAAGACATGATTAATTTACTTTTATTATTGATTTCATTTCTGAACATTCCAAAGATTAACGATTATCCAAAGAACTCTATTTGAATAGTTTATCACTTGTATAGATTTTATTGTATTTGCCATACGAAATGCTAATAACGATATGAATGTTAAATACGAAAGTGTCATGCTCGATTGATTTCAGTCGGTTTACTAATTCCTACAAGAAAGCATTCAAACAAGGAATCGATGTCTTATAGTTAGATGGTTTCACAAACCATTTCTTAATAACACGTAGAGTCATGTTAAGTAAATTTGATATTCTTTGAATGATATAAGCATATTTAATGCTTTCACTGTCTAGGTTTATATGTAGTTATAAAATTTAATTCTTTGGATGATTCTAGAGTATATCCAATTTACTGAAAACACAACCTTAGTTCCTTAAAGTATCTGAATCTGATTTTAGTAAAACCAGTCTTGTCTGTGTTATACCCAAGTGAAGATTCAATTACGAGTGATTTCTGAGAACTATTAATGAACTAATATTATATATACATTGCTATTGTATATTTGTTCAGTAACTAGATTATGTATACCTGTATTCATCTAATTATAAGCTTCATTTTGACCTGTAGACTATTATGATACAATTTATTGTTCTTAAGTCATATTCAGTTTATTGATTACAGCCTACCATATTCACAGCCACTTTTTGGCATGACTATGTATAAATGCTATTTCCTATTTTATGGTGTGATGTAGTCTGTTTGGCTAGTATATAAATCAAATATGTTTAAAGTAAATGAATCGCATAGTGGAAGCTGTTACTGGTGTTTTGGACTCAACTGACAGGGTGCTAGGAGGACAAAAAACCAAGAAGGACGCTAAGCTGTTCATACCGGTCGAACATCACTGGCTTAGCACAGTTATAAGATTGAATAAGTCATACCTTGATTGGTGAATAAATCACGTGATAACTAGCCGGGCTTAAAGTCACAACAGTCTGTAACCACTAGTCCTAGATATTACGCAGACCTCAACTAGGTCAGTCTACATTCAACAAAATGGCTAAAACTAACAGTTCATAACTTCATGGACTGATATCATTTTCCGCTTACTTCTAACTTAATTCAGCATTAGCAAGTATCACTCGTTTAGATAGGCGGTAGTTAAGCAACAGCCTTTTGTGGGAGAGAACAAACCAGCTTCCAGCTGAAAAGGAAATTAGGAGAAAACGATGGAAATGGATAGGACATACACCAGTCAAATCGTCAAACTGCATCACGACACAAGCCCTAACTTGGAATCCTGAAGGAAGGTGGAAAAGAGGAAGGCCAAAGAACACATTACGTCAGGAAATAAAAGCAGATATGAAAAGAATGAATAACAACTGGAAGGAGCTGGAGAGGATTGCCCAGGACAAGGTTAGATGGTGAATGCTGGTGAGCGGCCTAATGTTCCTTCACAAGGAGTAACAGGCGTAAATAAGTAAGTAAGTTAAGCAATAAAAACATTCTATATTTTCAGTAAATTAATCAAATAGAACTATCACTTCCATATTCTAAATCGATAAGTTAACCCACTTTGCATAGGAGAACCAATCTTTAACAAGTCAGTCGATAATAAAAAAAAAAGAACAATCAAAACGAAGATATCGGCAAGACCCGAGGATGAACGTCAGTCAGGTGTAACTTTTATCAATATAAACGAAAATAATACTCAACATATGAGAATGAAAACAAGAGCAATGAGAAAACAATGAAATTTATATGTTTAATACATTATTTTAGAAAAGATTAATTATTACAAGTTGTATAAGGGAAAATTAAAAAATAGTTAACTATGAATGAATCTTTTTTAGTTTAATGATTGAATAATTTAAACAACTTCAATTAATTCTTGTGGTAATGAATTTTTTGGATGTTTATTTTCAAAATGTTGTTTATAAGTTTTAATATCAGGTACTTGTGTTTTACATATAGGACAAGTATAATGAAGTGCTTTAGCAGCAGCTTTTTTTGAATCAATAGTAGGTTTTTTTAAATCAGCTTGCTTTTTAGCATTTCTTTGTTGACTTTGTATTTTTTGTTGACCACGTGCCATAGTTTTAATACTAAAAAGGATAAAGGTAAAAGAACACAATGATAATTTAGACAAGTTAAATAGTTATATTGAGAATAATTAGAGGTTAATTAACAGTAAGTTGATAGTTGAAAATTTGTGTCTGTTTAGTTGAAAGTTACTGAGAAATTAGCATCACGTAGTATTTGTGAGGATTGATTATTGTGATTATTTGAACACGAATATTGGTAAAAATATACGCCAATTACATATACGCTACACAATAACAATGAGGTTGTGGGGAGATGGAGAATGTAAAGTGCGTATAATTAACAAAAAACAACAATGAACAAGAATTAGTGAATGAGAACGAAATAATAATAATGGAAGAAACAGTTCAATTAGGAAAAATACAACCACAAAGAATTCTTTCAGTTAAAGGACCTCCTGGTCCACTTATCGACTCAGAATACGCAGATGACATAGTCCTGTTTGGTGAAGACGCTGACAAAATGCAGAGTCTTCTGGTAGCACTGAGCAACAATGCCAGAATGTTTGGAATGCGCTTCTCTCCCTCTAAATGCAAGTTGTTGCTTCAGGACTGGTCTGCGTTAACACCTGAACTAAGGATAGGGAGTGAAGTAGTCGAACGCGTTGACAACTTCACTTATCTTGGAAGTCTGATCAGCCCTAATGGGTGGTATCGGACGAAATCTCAGCACGGATTCGAAAAGCTCGATTGGCTTTTGCCAACTTACGTCACCTATGGCGAAGGCGAGATATCCGTCTATCAATAAAAGGACGAGTATACTGCGCGGCAGTCCGTTCTGTTTTAATTTACGGCAGCGAAACATGGCCATTAAGAGTAGAAGACACTCGTAAGCTATTAGTATTTGACCACAGATGCCTTAGAAATATTGCTGGCGTCTGCTGGGATCACCGGGTAAGTAATAGTGAGGTTAGACGCAGAGTATTAGGAAATGATGGTAAATAAGTCGACGAGGTTGTGAATGTTCATCGACTGAGATGGTTGGGCCACGTGTTACGTATGCCTGAACACCGATTACCACGACGTGCAATGCTATCCGGTATTGGAAATGGTTGGAAGAAAGTTAGGGGCGGCAAACCAAAACGTGGCATCAGTGCTTGAAGTCACTAACTTCTAGTCTGAGCCGTGTTGGTAGATGCAGACTACTTGGTTGGGGTCCGCGTGACTATCGTAACCAATGGTTAGAGACTCTTGGTGACATGGCTCAGAATCGATCTCAATGGCGTCGGTGTATACACTCCCTGTCTTCCCTTAAACTAAGAGATTAAAATCGCTTCATATCTTTCTTTCTACGAACCAATTCTTTCTTCTTGTACTATATCTCTATATGCAATCTTTCTCTTATATATTACTACCTTTGACCTAACCACTACTATGAATCCGGTGTTCATCTTGTTGTGCTGATGCGGTATGGCAACCTGGACCGATGCACATATGTGCCTGGTCCTACGTTGTAGCTGACTGACTGAAAGGAGTTACGTTTGCATTTATGAACAAAGTAAAAGAAATGTACAGTACGATCGCCACTGGCTTCTATTCTCAAACGTATCTGATATAGAGGATCCGCCTAGAGGAGTTGGAAAATCTCCATTCCAAACCAATGGTACACATGATCTGCAGGATCTTGAGGGAACAAATGGCGTATAAACCTATTGTTGATCACCGAGAACCTATCTTCTAACGTCTCTCAACTGTCTAGTAGACTATACCTCTAGGTCAAAGGCTAGGGGAGTAGTCCTCTAAGAGAACTGCTTGTTTCGGTTTGGGCGCCTGGGAAGTATCACAAACCTTACAAACAGATCAAGTGGTGTGGCGCATATATATTTGGTTTCCCTTTGTACCGATGTTCGTTTTCAAATAAATAATGATGCTTGAAGACCATATACATGAATGAGAAACGATCGTAAAAAGAAAACTCTCATGTGTTGTAAAGGCTGCTATCATTCTTATATCAGTTCTTGGTCAGTATTAAAGTAGAAACCATATCTAGTTAAACCTAAAACGATGGGTTTTTTTTTCTAAGGTGTTGTGAAGCGGGGATTTAGTGGCTAAGGAGTTCGACTTATGAACACAGGTTCGAATCCCGCTCCGACTAGGTTGACTTTAGCAAATAGATGGTATTACTAGTCCTTACACTTCCTACGTGCTTCATAAACAAATACCTAGTGAACGAGGCAATTTAATTTAAAAGATTACTTTGCATTTTAAAGTATCCATATTTGTTATCAAAAATATTATTTCTAATAAACTGCGACTAACAATAGATACGATAGATTTGAAATTGTCTCTAACCCATGCCCGTTATGTAACGTTTCCCGAAGTGAAAATATGAAATCTGAAACACAAATCATGAACTGTGGTCCGGTTGTCCTTTTTCGCTATAATCATCCACTAATACTCGTAATCAATGGTTGATGAAGTTACTTTTGACTGTGCTGAGCAAAATTATTGCGGGGAGCTAAACATCGTAAAACATCTAACAATGACAATTAATAATAGGTTCAGATAAAACGGAAGCTGAAGTAATGGATAACTGGAGAAACGACAATACAAAGATTCAATACAGCCTTCCTTCGACATACTGAAAAATTCAACGAATTCAAGATAACTCTAAACAACAAGTTCCAAGCCTTATGAGATTTACTCAAAGAAGAAACTACTATGTAGGACAACTGAAAAGGTATTGAGGCAGCACTCACTTCAACCTGTTAGCAGGATCTGGGCAACAAGAAACATCGTTATAAAGAATGGATCACTATCGAAACCCTAAACAAGATTGAAAAAGAGAAGAACAAGAAGACAGCAATTAACAACAACCGAACAACAACAGAGAAAGTCGAGACCCGCTTCAAACACACAAAAGCTAACATAAACGTCAGGAACATCAGAGCCGACAAGCAGAAATATGTGAAAAACGTAGCAACGACAATGGAAAAAACTGTAGGAGAAAGAAATATGAAACAATATATGACACGACGAAGAAACCGACAACGAAATATAGTAAACCAGAGAGACTAGTCAAGGACAAGAAAGCCAATCACTGAAATTCGGAAACAGAGGGACATATAGGTGAGACACTTCGATGAACTCTGGAATAGACCAATTCCACTAAATCCACCAGATATCAGACCAGCACCTGCAGACCTTCCTGTATATATGTGTATAATATGTATAATATAATATATGAAGTCTGCTTATGTTCGTATCTATAATTATTACTGTTATTATTGTCATTATTGGTCCCCCAACATATTAGATATTCTTTTTATCTCTTCTTATCCTTCTAAACATATTTAATCCCTGATTGTCCTTTGAAATTAATTGTGACTTTCATAGCATCATTCTTAATTATTATTGCACAAATGTTTATAATAATATCCGGTTTCACTCTGTATATTATTACATAAATCTACATGTGCAGTAAAGGATTTATTTTATTTTTCTAAATTGTTGGTTTACTTCAGAGGTCGATATTCATTACACAATTATTATTATTATTATTATTATTATTATTATTATTATTATTATTATCATGGTTGAACCCTTTCATTTGGTGTTCATTTCTTTTCTCTCTCTTTTTTCCATCTAAATAAATATTATTCCTAACTTTACAAAGTTTTTGACAGACAGCAATTTGTGTTACACTTAAATTAACTTCTCAGACTCGTTTTATCTTCACTATGCATATATCACTCATACATATTGATATTTCATTAACCGTTTCACTTAATTGAGACTTTCGTAGCGTCACTCCAAACTGTGACTGCACAAACATTTGTTCTAGCGTCATATCTTACTGAAATAATGAGTTATTTTTTCTTAATTATTTTCTATTTTATTTTATTTTTTGAACTAATTTCACGATACATACATGGTCGTTTATTCTTGTTCTGGGTTCATAAACACGCCTATTAAACTGTTCGCTTATTTCACGTCTCCTTTATTTCCATTTCCTTATTTACTTCCTTTCCTTCTTTGAACTTAATTCAATGTTCTTCTCAATTACACATAACCTGATTTATTATTATTCTCTTTTTCAAATATGGCAAATATAATGCTAACATTATTGAAACTTATGCATTATTGCATTTGTGAAGAAACCATTTTGGGTTTCTTCACCAAACTTATGTACCCATAAGATGTTTGTGAATAACAATAATATAGCCGTCACTCCAACAACGATCGAAGAAACCAGCATGGCCACCAGACAGATCAAGAGTGTGAAAGCAGTAGGACCTGAAAACATACCAGTTGAAACACTGAAGTCAGACACAACAGTAACTGTAAAGAGCCTACACGTTCTGTTAAGAAGGATTTGGGACGAAGAACACGTGCTGGAAAGAAGGATAGTTGATGAAGATGCGAAAGAAATGAAATGTGAGCAAGGGAGCCGCTGGGACTAGGGGCCTGTGGCGCAATGGATAACGCGCCTGACTACGGATAAGGAGATTCCAGGAAGATTTGGAATATTCCACGTGCCTGTGCAGCATCATCAATAAACAGAGAGGATCTGATACATACATTAAGGCAAGGTTGAGCAAAGCAAGGACAACATTTCTACGGTTGAAGAACATATGGAACTCAAAACGACTGTCAGCCAATATCAACGTGAGAATCTTCAATACGAACGTCAAGATAGTTTTACTGGATGGAGCTGAAAACCAGAGAACTATCAAAACCATAACCAAAAATGTAAGTGTTAACAAACTATTGTCTACACAAGACACAATGTCTATTGGCCGGACTAACTCGGTGCTAACTTGGAATCCTAAAGGGAAAAGGAAAGGAGGAAGAGCAAGGAACCCGTAACTGGAAGCAAACACCAGAAGAATGATTAAATGGGAACAATTGGAAAGGATTACCCTCGATGCAGAATCCTGGTGGGCAGTCTATGTTTGTACACAAGGGGTAACAGGAATAAGTAGGTATGTAATATTGGATGCACTAACCAAATCAGTCTAGTGAAATTCAATGCGCTCACGCTGCTGCATACATTACCAACGACCTGTGTAAGACTTCACCAAATTCAGTTAGATCTTTGACTATTCGTTTGATTTCACTTGTTTTATTCCTACTTTCTACACCTCCCACGAAATTCTGTTCCATCTTGTTTTAGTATTACGTTCAAGTCTTTCTGCTTTACTAAGATAGTAGCTACTGTTGTTAGATGACTACAAACAAAAACCATGTTTGTATTTATATTGCGTAGACTGCTTAAAGTTCGTCAAATCTCAGAACTTTGTTTATGACAAACTTATTTAACTTACGGGCAGTCACAGTAGCACTATATAAAAGAAATAATGCAGACTTTCAGTCATTTGTTCTTAAAGCGAAAATCAAAAATATACCTGAATTAACCTCATACTGTGAAACTTGTTTGTTATTTCGCTGATATAGTGTGTAGTGAGTTGGACCAACATAAATTTCTCTTAAGTGACATTTCAATTATGACTAATCCGTAGAAACTGAGTGTCTAAGTACAAAGTCCGGATGCTTAACACATTATTAGGGACTCTGCATGCATCAATACAAAATGCCCCTGACTTATGCAAAGATTTTTGGTTTAAAAGATGCTACAATATTCTGCATCTGAAGTTTGTCACACTGATCACAAAAAGACCACATAAAGTCCACAAGTTCTAAACTTCGTAAAATAGAGTTAGGGTCTAAGTGGCATGAAATTTATGGACGGATTTTGGGTGACACTAGAGCAGCCTTGTAATACTTAACACTAGGACGAAAATAAATAGGGTCATCGATCAGTTTGAATTAAGATAAGGTGTAAAAGTTAGGAGATGTGGGTGGGAATTAGGGTGTTTTCATCATGAACTGAGTGCTATTGAGTCATGTGGAGGGGTTTATTTTGCGGATAAATCTAGCAGTTAACTGTTGGATAATATAACAACTGTTATCATGAATCTGAATGATTGTCGCGTATATTACAGTCTATAGCTATTGACCATATTACAATAATAATACACATGGGTATGGAAAAAGAGAACCATTTATGTGTACCGAACCAAGGTATAACAAAAACTGAAACACATGTTGCAGTCAGAGTAAAATAGTCAAGAATATAATAGACAATATTTTGCTCAATAACACCGCATACAAACATCGAAAACACTTTTGGAGAACGATAATTAAAATAACAGTGACAAGCCTAATTCAGTAACTACTTAGTTTCGGGATTAAAAACTACATTACACTTCGCAAGAATAGATTTACACAAACCTTGACCTTCAATCCTTAACTAGCCGCCTTTTGATCCAATATCTTTGTGACGAGCTTGTATAAACTGATTCAATTTTTAGGCTAGCTTCTTATGCTTTCCGTAGGGTTCCAAGTTTTACTTAACGTTTAACGGACAGCAGTCTAGACACCCGACTACACTAGTTCTAGTTTGTTTGCTAATTATAAGTTAGCTTGTATATCATGTCCATGTTTACAGATAACAATGATATTCTCATTACATGTTTTATCTTGATATACATCTCGGATTGTAGCAATTATAGTCAGAGTTACTGACTAACTGACGTCCAGTATAGGTTTCTCGTGTGTATAGTTTAGATTCAACATATTAACAGATTACATTTCTTTCGTAATAATTTTGACATTATTTTTGAAATTTATATATTTTGGTTCACCATAAAGGAAACAGCTGAATAAGTTGACTAATCAGTAATGCAAAGTGTGAGGGGAACGAAGTGTGAGAATAAAAGGAGGAACAGAGAGGGTAGTAAGCGTAGCAGAAAGTAGTTATTAATATGTGATAATGATAATGTAGGTATGTTATGAGATTCCCATTCAGATTTGTGCAGTAAGAGCAGAAGGCCTACGGCCAATGTTATTCCCCTTCTAGTATGCTTCTGTGAGTGTCCAGTCTCTTCTTGAAAGAGTTAATTGAAGGTGCGGACACCACTGCTTCGAGTAGCAGGTTCCAAATATTGATGACTCGGTGTGAGGACCCGTATGTCACGGGTGTTTTGTTAGTTCTTGGGTACTTTTGTGTACAGGATAACCCCGCCCCCCCTAGGGATTAATCTATCAACCCTACTGAATAAAACACCAGTCAACTGAATTTCATTATCTAATACGCCTGACGTTAACCAAGTTTCTGAGACAACAACCACATCCGGTTTTTCTTTATCCACCACTGACCTGAGCTCCTCCATTTTATTTGATAGGCCACGAGCATTTGTGTAGCATACCTTTAAGTCAGATTACCAGGATTCTCCTTGGAATTCTGTCCTGGTTAATTCTATCCAATTGTTTGAAGCGCTAATTATTCTTCTGGTGTTTACTCCCAGTTCCAGGTTCAATGTGTTCCTTAGTTTTCCTCTTTTTTGTGACAACTTACATCGATTGGCTAAGAGTCGACGTCAAGCATCTATCGCGTTCATAATATACTAAGATGATGGTCATCTACCACATTTCAGACCTAATACAAACACAATTTTGCACCGGTAGAAATAGACACTGTTATGAATACGAACGTCATACTCTTAGAATTCGATCGTAGTGACGTCGAGTTGTGGTTCGCCCAACTAGAATATTATTTCACGAAACACAACATAAATTCTGTGGGGACTTGCTACCGGGATTTATGCTCCGTCTCTCCTTCTCCATTAAGGTGCTGGAATCAAACTAGTGTTCTTTTGATTATGAAGCTGGTTGAACCGATATTCTTACGGGAGTCGGTTGTAGGAGGAATCTGATGCAAGAACTTAAGTTGTGGCTAGGAGTTAACTAAAGGCATCTTTTTAATATTATTACATTATAGTTCTAGTATTTATTTACTTCTTTGCTTTTCATGGGCACTTTATTTCGTGTAATAATAATAATAAATTTTCAAATAACAGTCTGTGACATGAGGCGTGCTAGTTTACAGGCAAAATCAAGTTGTTACAGCAGTTACAGTCTTCACTGTAGTGGGTTACTCGGACAATTTAATATTTTATAAGGTATGTCGGTCATGGAGATATGAACAAAAACAATTCTCGCATGTTAATGTAAATAATATTAATAAGATTCGTACTGTTAATATGATGGTCGGCGCGATGTATAGAGGTTGGGTTGCGACGTCCAACTGGTGGTCAAGAATAAATACACGTTAAGTTGCAAACTTCTAGAGACCGTGACCATATATCCCTCTGGAACATCTGAGGCAATAATGATGACGCGGGATGAAGTCACCTATTGCATATGTGTTTTCATTGGCATATCTCGAGGGCGACCGAAAAGAAGAGAAGAAGAAGCACAGCAGACAATGTTCATCCTTATCGAAGTTGAGTAATTGGTGTAGGAATAGCCAAGGTATGGCTACTTAGTCTGATTCTCTTTTTTAAGTTACTTTTCATGTGTAGCGTGGCGTCGAGTTGGAATTAACTATGAACACCGCTACCAAGAAACACGTGCCAAGTAAATCAGAAGGCGAAGGTTGAACGTAACTAATTAAATCCATAAAATCTCCGAGAAGCCAAATATCAGAAGACACTTAATGGACCAAATCGAGATATATTCGCTGGCGATCTCGTGTTATCGAAAGGATACCGAGATCGTGCCAGGATAAAAGCTTGGTTGCAGAACGTAACCGAATTCGCGCGAAGTCACAATCAAAGTGTGAGAATAAGAATGGAAGCACAATACAGCTGTCATTAGCACAGTCAAACAAAAACACATTAAAACAAACACTGGTACAGTTGTTTATAATAGTAATTGTTTTTATTGAACCAGTCGTGTTCTCGTGATAAATGTGAGTCACTACACATGAAAGAGCATTCCAATAGGTTAAAGAAAATAAGCATAATTAAGTTATGAGCGGGCAAAAAATCGTATTCATGGAGACGGTCCATGAAAAGTCGAAAAATGTGTATTAAGCGTAGTTTTAAAATATTGTGATGAAAACAGAACCCTTGTGCACTTTTCGAACGGGAAATTTAGTCCTAGCATGGTTTGCATGTCTCAAACTGTTGCTGTGTACTCAGGCAACAAATGTACCATTACCGAACTAAAGAATCTGTTTTGAGCTACACGTTCGATAGGTTACTTTTATTTTTGAGTTTTAACAGTTTAGTAGTCAACTGTGGATTTGCCTCAGCACAATATTCGATTTTTAAGTTTTCAAAGTCGAGGCTAGTTTCGGTTTATCCTTATATTTTGTACCACTACTTTTTATCCATTTCATCCGTTATTAGTATACTGTTTTTTACGGTCATAGGTTTTGATAGGATAAGGCATGCAAGCGAAGAAAAACATAACAGCCGACAAGCAGAAATATGTGAAAAACGTAGCAACGACAATGGAAAAAACTGTAGAAGAAAGAAATATGAAACAATATATGACACGACGAAGAAACCGACAACGAAATATAGTAAACCAGAGAGACTAGTCAAGGACAAGAAAGCCAATCACTGAAATTCGGAAACAGAGGGACATATAGGTGAGACACTTCGATGAACTCTGGAATAGACCAATTCCACTAAATCCACCAGATATCAGACCAGCACCTGCAGACCTTCCTGTATATATGTGTATAATATGTATAATATAATATATGAAGTCTGCTTATGTTCGTATCTATAATTATTACTGTTATTATTGTCATTATTGGTCCCCCAACATATTAGATATTCTTTTTATCTCTTCTTATCCTTCTAAACATATTTAATCCCTGATTGTCCTTTGAAATTAATTGTGACTTTCATAGCATCATTCTTAATTATTATTGCACAAATGTTTATAATAATATCCGGTTTCACTCTGTATATTATTACATAAATCTACATGTGCAGTAAAGGATTTATTTTATTTTTCTAAATTGTTGGTTTACTTCAGAGGTCGATATTCATTACACAATTATTATTATTATTATTATTATTATTATTATCATGGTTGAACCCTTTCATTTGGTGTTCATTTCTTTTCTCTCTCTTTTTTCCATCTAAATAAATATTATTCCTAACTTTACAAAGTTTTTGACAGACAGCAATTTGTGTTACACTTAAATTAACTTCTCAGACTCGTTTTATCTTCACTATGCATATATAACTCATACATATTGATATTTCATTAACCGTTTCACTTAATTGAGACTTTCGTAGCGTCACTCCAAACTGTGACTGCACAAACATTTGTTCTAGCGTCATATCTTACTGAAATAATGAGTTATTTTATCTTAATTATTTCCTATTTTATTTTATTTTTTGAACTAATTTCACGATAAATATGTAGCGTGGTGTCGAGTTGAAATTAACTATGAACACCGCTACAAAGAAACACGTGCCAGACAAATCAGAAAGCGTAAGAAGCTCGTTCCAAATGACTCCATAAAATCCCCGAGAAGCCGAATACCAAAAGGCAATTAATGGACCAAGTCGAGTTATATTTGCTGGCGATCTCGTGGCATCGAAAGGATACCGAGATCGTGCCAGGATACAACCTTGGTTACAGAAGGTAACCGAATTCGCGCGAAGTTACAATCGAAGTGTAAGTATAAGAATGGAAGCACAAAATAGCTGTCATTAGCACAGTAAAACAGTCACTGGTACACTTGGTTATAATAATAAGCGTTTTTATTAAACCAGTCGTGTTCTCGTGATAAATGTGAGTCACTACACATACATGGTTGTTTATTCTTGTTCTGGGTTCATAAACACGCCTATTAAACTGTTCGCTTATTTCACGTCTCCTTTATTTCCATTTCCTTATTTACTTCCTTTCCTTCTTTGAACTTAATTCAATGTTCTTCTCAATTACACATAACCTGATTTATTATTATTCTATTATTATTATTCTCTTTTTCAAATATGGCAAATATAATGCCAACAACAGTCGCATCACCTCCCAGTTACGCGTAGCAGACCCCTCTCACGCTAACCTAAATAGCCATAACAGGGGCTACGAGTCTAACCATCAAGTCCATTTTGTAAATAACCTTACACTTCACAGTAGGCCTGTACAAGATTTTTTTGGAATAAGACCCCTAGTGACACCTCTGTTGAAGCATATAGCCCAGGTTATTTCAAACCACATGCAAACCATAAATTTGTTTTCCTCCGTACAGTTTCCATCAGAGAGTACTCCCACCCTTCCCTCCTGGGTAAACTCCCCAATCAACTTCACTAGCTCATTTGATACATCTCCCACTAAGTCAAGCTATCAAAACACCGAGCTAATGAAGAACATCCAATCCCTCACATCAAACTCATCTCACACCCGCGAGGGTTACGATGACTTTATCCGAGATACCCTCACCCATTTTAAATTAGTAGGCCACTTGCTTAATATATGTCTTATCA